GAAAATATTAGTTAAAAAGCTAGATAAGAATGACTAAGAAGCTTAGTGGAATGCCATGGTGTAAACATGGGTCTTTAACCTGCTCTTAAAACCAAGCAGAGAGGGTGCTTGTCTGATTTCCAATGGAAGGTCATTCCACAATTCGGGGGCCCAGACCGAGAAAGCCCTGCTACCTCTGGTTGTGCACTGCACACGCGGAACGACCAACAACTCCAGCTGTGATGACCTCAAAGCGCATGATGGAGTGTACAGGGTGATTACGTCAGATAGGTATGATGGTGCACGGCGCTGTAGTGACTTGTAAACAAACGTGAGTACCTTGAACTTGACTCTAAAAGAGACCGGAAGCCAATGCAGAAGAGCCAAGATTGGTGTGATGTGTTCATATATAAATAAATAAAACTAAAAAAATTCATATTAATAGTTGGTCAATAGGAGGCTTTCATTAAGGTGAATTGGGTGTAGGCCGCGTTGATGTTCATTCTGGTTTTAGCTCTTTGCTTTATCTCCAAAGACATTACTTTTACTTCCAGGCTCCGTCATGATGCCAGCTAAACAACACTTTCTTTGTCTTGTGCTTTTTATTGACAGTCGACAAACTGAAGAAGCTAACTGCTAGCCTTTATATGAGCTACTGACACAGTAAACTGCTATTGTCATAAAGCAGGTAGAGTCCTCCCACTAGTGCTCCTACCTGAACCACAAAACTGTAAAGTGTAGTTTCTGGTCAGCTGAGGGCTGCAGAGTGCTGTCCAGTGTGGAGTTACTCACATTTATGGCTGAAGAATCACTGAAACCAGTTTGAAAGCAACATCTTCAAATGTAAAATAAGAAACTGTTGCTTTGGTAGGAATGTTTTACACTTTTGCATGAGCTAATTATCTTTCAACTCATAACCATTTTAGAGAATTTACTTGTGTGATGTTTTCCCCTTTTATCAGTGTGTGAGCTGGTTTTGAGTCTAGTGCTTTAACTCTAGGACCAGAAGGTACCTAAGCATGTTAGTTGGAGCTAACAAATGTCATCATTGGTCCAAATATCAGTGAGGCAATGTGTCTTGTTGATCATTCTCTTAAGCGTTGGGCTCATTTTCTGCAAGCTAGGAGAGGATTGGTAGTTTAGTGAGCCCTCCTACACCCCAGAATGCAACACAAAACTGCCACAGGAAGGCATTTGGCTCAAACGTGCAGCATACACGTGGCCATTGTGTTGGATCGCCAGAACAAAACTGCCATGGAGTTTCTTTGGAACCATGTCTGCCACTTTCAAAGGGTCTCAGTGTGGTTTTCTGTTCCACACAACAATGAAATGACTGTTCAAACCATTAGTGTTTGATTTAAACAGAGTAAACACTGCAGGTGTGAAAACACCCTTTGTTTGAGCAGAATAGGATTAGATTAGATTAGATCCAGCATTTGTTACCAGTTTGAGATGGGACTTTTAGATGTAAACCCAAACTTCACTTTACAGATTTTTTAAAAGCTGCAGAAAAGATCCTTTAGATCTCAGCTTCATTACCTTTAACACTTCTTTCTTTTATTCATATTTGATCAATAAAATCCGAACACAAAAGATTAGGATCACCTTATGTCTGCTGTCTTTAATGTTTTTAAAACTATTTTATTTCCATGTCTTTCTATTGATTTTATTAAGTGTTTGCTCCTAAAATGCTTCATAGTTATTAAAAAAAAGACACAAAAATAAAGATAAAACAAGAAGTGTCTTGATTTCTCAAGAAAAACAAATTAGATTGTTTCAGTCATTTGTTCATCAAACAGCTGGTTTCACCGTGAGTCATGTGACTAATTCATCTCACATAAAGAAGTCATGCATGATAAAGACCCCCCCCCCCCCCCCCAGGGGTGTTCGGGTGGGTCATGTGACTTTAACGACTTGCAAGGTGTGTCCTGGAAAGATGTCAGAACTGAAAAACCCTTTGGAGCAAAATGTGAAACTTCTTAAACAGCCAAGAAAAGAAGGCCAGGTGTTTTTATTTAAGGAGTTACCCAGAACACGATTTCCTACTGGAGCTATGACTCAAAACAGAGGTAAAGTCATTTATTTTTTTCTGAAATCTTTCAGGTTTAAATCAAAATTTCCTTGCATTGCTCCTGATGTTGAAAATGAACCAATTTATCATCATAATGCTGAAGATTAAACATTAATGAGACCAAATGTCCAGGTCTTAGTTTTTATCTTATACTGCTGATGTGTGTGTGTCCTGGTAATCTAGATTTTCCATATGTAGGTCATTTTAAAATAACCTAGGGGTTGTGGAGAGGTTGTTCTACAGCTGCGTGTGTCTGACAGATGCAGCTAACATTTCTGTTTTAGATTTACACTGAAACTAGGATCAGAGTCCAGTAAAGACATGAAACTGTTACAGGAAAAGGTGAGGAGTCTGTTTCTAGTGGACCAAAGTTCTTGGTTGGTGAACCAACCTCAAACCTACTAAGTTCATGTTTGAATCTTTGTTATTCTTTATTGTTCTGGTCTCATTTAAGCTTCTTTGTTCAGATACTTGCTGACTTGGTGGCGATGCTCTTGCTTTGTGTGTTTTTCATTCAGAAAAGCTGCAGGTTGATATCCCTGTTAGGTGGAAGGGATATAAAACAGGAACCAGTGATGTTCTTCTACCTTTACTCATTAGACCTTTTCTGTGATGTTATCTTCACATATTGACAACTGGAGACACAGTGCTGCCTCATGGTTTGGGAACACTGAGTTTCCACTGCATATGTGTTCAGAATCAGATTATTTATAAAGCCTAAATCTGTCAGGATTCACACCTTGTCCTCGTGTGCTGTCTCTATATGATCAGTAAGCAGTTAAGTTTAGCCTCATGTAGAAAAAGGTGGAATGCTCCTTCTGGGTTGGGAGTGGTTGTCTTGTTTACATGTTGTGACTGGATGGAGAGAGACTAGAGAGGTGTTCAGAGCTGCATCTGCAGCAGTGAAGCTGCTGCTCTGGTCTAAAGAGATGAGCTGAAAGACAAAGCTCTGGACTTACTGGTCCGGCCACATTCCAACCCTCACCTATGTTCATGAGATTTGGATCGGGACTGATTCTCATCTAGATAAGGAGCCGACGGCGGAGCTGCTGCTGACCTCTTACATCCGCAACATGACGTCATCTCCATAAGTGGATGTTGATGTTTGAGTTGTAAAAAGCAGAATTAAAGCTCTAGATCATCATTCTCATATGTAAATATCATAAAAGCAAACAGGAGTTGTGAAATAGAAAGGCTCTTGATCCAGTTAATCTATCATATCTCAAAGAAAAGGAATTTACAGAGCTTGAAATGTATGGCTGTGTCCACATGGACATCGGATATTGCCCTTAAGCCTGAGTCATGCTTCTGCGTCAGTGCGGAGACACTCAACGCCATTATCTGTCCTTGCGGGCCTGCTGGAGAGCCCCCGCAAGGACAGACGGAGTCAAGCTCTCTTTTCTAAGCATACGTCCGTCGAGACGGAGAACGCAAGCTTGTGATTGGTCAGGGCACTGCTGTCGTCTACACCAATGCCATTGTGCCCTCGAATACCTAAAGAGAGCCGAGGATAACTAGCTGCAGACATGGAGAAGCTTGGTGAATACCTCGCGAAAAAACTCTAAAAATATGAATGATTAATTCCCCCATGACTGGAGGGGTGAAAAGATGCGCAGCAAGCATTTATTTGTGGACGGAAATGACAGGAAATGTGGGTTTAGAGGTGGCGAGCGCATGAAGAGATGGAGGAGAATGAGAGACAAATTTGTCTGTGTCTAACCCTAACCCTAAACACAATGTAAACCATCTTGGACTGGATACCACAGAACAGCACTAAGGCCCCTGGTGTCCTAGCGGGGAATTGCTTTGCAACACTCCCCAGGAGATGGAGAAATATGAGGGTAAAATGTCTCCATCCGTATGTGCGTGTTTCTCCCTTTTGGAGCTGAAGGAGAAGCATGACTCAGGCTTTAGTGGTGCTTCAAAAACCAGGGCAAAAGCGTTTTATAAGTGTGATAACAGTCTTTTAGGTCGATTGTCTCCCAGTGCGTCAAAAACAAACGCTTGGTCAGCCACCCTCCACGTCAGACCCCTGACGCCAAAAGTGCCCTTTTTCGTCACTAATGTGCGAAAAGGGGTTTTTCCCTTTTCTGACTGCAGATCCCAATGCAGCGTTACACTGACGCGATGGGATGTGCGCAGCCAGGGCACCAAACAAGCTCATGGTACCTCACCTTAACCTTATCCTCTTATTTAACCTTCCCCTCACCCCTATCCTAACCTTAACCATCTTGCTAGCGAACACGTTAGTGATGTGTCGGTCGCTCTAAAGTGAACGGTGGGAGCCGCCTCGTCATTGGTCGAGTTTGGACCGAGGCAACGCGAGGGGGAGGTTTCAACTACCACGGTGGAGGTTAAAAGTAGAGGGTATGTGTAACCTCCCCCTCGCCAGATGGTATGTTCTAACGTTCCCCTTGGGCGGCAAATACGAAAATTCACAGTCAGACTCTGACTGTCAGAGTCAGAATGCATGGGAAACAAACGCTTGATCACAGTGAGAGTAACGTTTTAGGTAGCAAGAGGGTTAAGGTTAGGATGAGGGAGAGGGGAAGGTTATAAATAGTGAAACGTTAAGGTTTAGGTGCGGTTAAACGAGCTGGTTCGGTGCCGCATCAGCGGATATCTCATCACGTCAGTTTTACGCTGCATTGGGATCTGCAGTCAGAAAAGGGAAAAAACCCTTTTCGCACATAAGTGACGAAAAAGGGCACTTTTGGCGTCAGGGGTCTGACGTGGAGGGTGGCTGACCAAGCGTTTGTTTCTGACGCTTAGGGTGTGAGAATGTGTTGAGATATCAGACTGCAGTGCTGCTTTCCTTAATCTGCTTTTCTCTTTCGTGTTGACATTTTGCATTCATACAATTCAAAATAAATTCAGTTACAAGTGGGTAGCCATGTTTAGAGGTGATTGACACACAGCTTACACAGCGTGGGTGTGTGTTGTCTGTCAGTGTCTCAGATGGTGATCGAGGAAGTGAGCGTTCTGCAGACTCAGCTCGAGATCGAGAAGTCGTGTCGGGAGAATGCTGAGGCCCTGGCCACCAAGGTCTGTCTCACACTCAAACACTCTGTGATTGATGAGTAATCAGCTTCATCAGCTGGCATCAGCAGCATGATGGGGGCCAACAGTTGAGTCAGGAGGACTCTGCAGAGACCAGCTGATTATATTATTTGTGTATCTTTAAAGGTAGATGATCGATTTGTCTCTGTTCTGTTTGACATCCAGCTGAACTGTGAGAACAGGAAGTTGAAGTATCTGAGCCTGACATCGCGGCCATGTTTGGACGATCTCCTACCCAGCATCCCTGACTGCATCCCACTGGAAGCTGACGGAGACGCTGCAGACAACAGCCTCGACACCTTCACACAGTACCAGCAACAAGTTAAAGGTGCATTTACAATTGTAACTGTCAGCCAGAATCCTCTGACAGGTTTGGCCCAGGACGTCTTGTCCTTTGTGCTGAAGGTTGAAATCACGGTTAATGCTTAAATTATAATGTGGGACTTTAAGGTTTCAGAGATGCTTCAGTCTTCATTACACTTCTTGATTATGATTTTTTTTAATGTAAAAATGCAGGACTATTTCATCACCAAACCTTCTACTTTATTTATGTGGCACATTAAAGCAACCGGTGGAACAAATTTCAATCATAAAAACATTAAAATAAAACAAAAAAATTAGCTCAACCGAAGAACAAAAAAACATGTTCAAATTTAATTAAAGGTATATTCCACTCAAAATAGAAATTTTGTCTGTTGACATAATTCCCAGTGTTAGATAAGTGAGAAAAATATATTTTTAACCGGCCCAGTCATTCTCCTGACCTGGCTGTACTACTTTCACTTTAGCTTAGCATAAAACACAGTAAGTGAATGGATCCATCTAGCATTGTGAGTAAAAAAAGTTCTTAAATTCACTCAGTAGTGGTCCCACTTCTGCTCTGTGACATAAATAATCAGACTGACTGCAAGTGAAAATAAGTATTAACATAAATGAGTCACAAGGACCATTTTAGACTTGGACTACTTTATGAAAAGCACAGCTGTAAGCCTCCACTGAAAGGTGCAGGGCAGCCCTAAATACATCTGCTTCTGTAAACACAGATACACATGTGTTTAGCAAACAAAAACAAATGTGCATGCATGTTTTCATGCGTGCAACTTCAAGTTTACTATTTAACATGAAGATTTCTGATCAATGTGTTAAACTACAACACCTCCATTTAATTTTTATGATTAGTTCAACTTCTGCATGTCTGGGAATAGTCAGTGTTCTGTTTTGTGAAGACACTTTCATGCGCACACACACACACACACACACACACACACACGCACACGCACACACACACACGCACGCACACACGCACACACACACACACATGCGCACACACACAGCAGTGGCTGCTCTGTGGATCTGCTTTTCTTGTCTCTTATTAAAGCAGGAGTAACACATTATAGGCTCTCTGCAGATCTGTTTGAAGAGTTTCCTAACTTTTTTCACATTAATAAGTCTAATATTCCTCCCATCCGTGTGCTCTGGATGTTTCATGGTTGCAAGGGGGACGCGGGTCATTCAAAGCTATTAATTTTGGATTACCAGAGGAGGCTTTGTTTTTTATTAATTACACAGGTACACACATTCTAGTCTAGCATTCATTGTGAGGACTGTTGTTGTCTCCATTCATTTTAGTGACTGGGTTGTGCCTAACCCTAACTCTCACCATAACCAGTCTACTCCTATCCCTAACCTTAACTAAAACTTAACTCACATCATATATCTAAAACTAAAGAGTAGAGCTCCATAACATTGTACAAAAATGAGGATCAGCAAAATGTCCTCACTTTGCTACTAATGTCCTGAGTTTGCAGATGAAAAGCTTGTCATTGGTCCTCACTTTGATGTATAAACGAACACACACACACACACACACACACACACACACACACACACACACACACACACACACACACACACACACACACACACACACACACACACACACACACACACACACACACACACACAAGCTCCAATCTCTCCTGCTCAAATGTGATGTGCTTATTTTTTCTCTCCTTGTGTGTGTGTGTGTGTGTGTGTGTGTGATTTATGCCAGTTTTCTAACAACGTGCGTATCTGTGTTTACAGAAGCAGGTGTCTTTGGGGATGCCTTGCATGTTTAAATCCATTTAAATTAAATGAAAAACAAAGGACAAACCTGGAGTGAGTTTAATAAAAACATATATTTCTTACTTTGTTTGCTCAGATCTGAGAGAGACGGTGAACAGTTTGTTGGAGGAGAAGAAAAATTTTGTCTGTCAGATTCATGAACAGCAGCGACAGATCGAAGAACTGACAACGCAGGTGAGGAAAGACTCACACCTAAACTTCCTGACCCATATTAAAATCCTTTCGATGCAGATTTTCTTTGTTTCTTCAGACTAATCTTGTCTTTGGTGTTTTATATTTATGCTGGCAGTCAGAGACAAAGCAGGCAGAGATGAAGGATCTTCATGAAACTGTCGAACAGCAAAGAAAAAACATCAAGAGATTTAACAGAGGTGAGTTACAATACAATAACATGTCAGTAAATAACAGGGGAAAAAAAATTGGTTTATGCTTAAAAAAACCTCATTCACTGTTTCGGATATAGAAGTTATGTCTTGTACCCCTAAGAAGCCACGGCATCCTTTTATTTTTCTCTACTATCGTGGCATTTTACTTCCTTTAATGAGTTCTTCAGAACATTAACAGCAAGCTACCAGCAGGATGACAAACAACCACACTTCCTGTAATGCGGCAGAAATATTACTGTGATAAGTGTCGTAAGCGCTCCCCACTGTAAAACACCCAAGAGTGCCAACACCAGACACATCAATGTATTTATCTATCTATCAACTTACTGTGGACAACTCGTCTTTAACTCATTCACTGCCATTGACGACTAAAGTCGTCATTTGCATTTTTTTCTATGTGGGCATCAGAACAAGCCCCCGCACTGTGAGAACAAACATCTCAGCTCTAAAGCCGATCTTCATCCACATACGTCACGCGTCACGTGATCAGGAAGCAGAATATCCATGTGTTAGGAGATCGTTTTGAGCCGCTGCTGTAAAAAAAGTGAGGTGCGAACCGGAAAAGCTTCTGCCGATCACAATTCAACAACAGATTATGAAAGAACAAATAATGCTTGAAATGTGCGGATTCTTCCTGATGTAAGAGGTGAGTCTCCCCTTTGTTTTGGTTGTTTTGGCGTCTACATCATCCTTGCGCGCAATGTGCTGTGACTCTTAAAATAACTGTAAAAATGGTGAGAAACACTGGCAGTGAAGGGCTTTACCAATCAGGAAACGGCTGGCAGCAAATGAGTTAATTGTCGTCTAGAATCTTCTGGCACTGATACGTAACTGACAACAGCCATGAAGCTCATGAACGGCAGTGAGAGAGTAACTTTTTATTTAGAGAAATGGGCTGCAGTACCCACATTTGACCACAGGAGCGATGGTGGCACAGGAGTTAAGTGCTCGCCCCGTAATCGGAAGGTTGCAGGTTCGAGCCCCGCTCAGTCTGTTGCTGTGTCCTTGGGCAAGACACTTAACCCACTTTGCCTGCTGGTGGTGGTCGGAGGGACCGGTGGCGCCAGTGCTCGGAAGCCTCGCCTCTGTCAGTGTGCCCCAGGGCAGCTGTGGCTACATCGTAGCTCATCACCACCAGTGTGTGAATGTGTGTGTGAATGGGTGAATGACTGATTGTGTTGTAAAGCGCCTTGGGGGGTTCCAGGACTCTAGAAGGCACTACTTATATCAAATACAGGCCATTTACCATTTATACTTCAATCTTACACATTGCTAGCCTGGCCTGCCAGACTCGTCCTCTGTTTAATTCTGCACAGAGAAAGAGTCTGGTAACTCACAGGCAGAGAGGCACTTGAGGGCGGGACTAGGCAGCTCAAAAGTAACCAATCAGAAAAAAGACGGAAATGCCGACTGTACCGCGCAACGGTGTCGTTTTCTAGCTGTAGTAATAAAAGGGCATCTGCAACGGCGCAAACATATATATATTTTTTTTACAAGAAATTCTTTTAGCGCTTCTACTCGTGGTAGAGGTGGAGGAAAGAGCCGTTGCGAACTCCGCCGCAGTCTTCTTTGTTTATGAGAAACTGACTGTCGCTGTGTGTGACGTCCACAATGAGTTTTTTAGCTGTAGTCAAAAATGGAGTCTGGTGACGGCGCAAACATCTTTCTTTAGAAACAGGGCTTTTAGCGCTTCTACTTGTTGTTGTTGTAAGACGTGTCCAAGTCATTTAGACCAGAGGAAAGAGACGCAACGAACTCCGCTTCAGTCGCATGTTTGACCAACTCGGCATTATGGTGTGTGGCGTACGCTACTCAGCGCTGATTGGCTCGGTTAGAGTTCTCAGGGGGTGGGGTTATTTGAATAGGAGAGTTCCCAGACCCTTTCTCTGTGCAGAATTAAACAGAGGAGGAGTCTGGCAGGCCAGGCTAACACATTGCACCTTTAAAAGTAAAATGTGCCCTTCTAAGAGACATCAAATTAAATAAAGAATTCCTTTACTTTATGTTGTAAATAACCCTACTGCAGAATTACACGAGAAACCGGTTAAAGTTTAGATATTCATGAGCTGTGGGATTTGTTAAAAATGATTATAATGTCTTTCTGTCCACAGTCTCCATGATGGCAGCTAAGGAGTACGATGGCATGAAGGAGCAGCTGGACTTGGAGCAAAACCTCAGAGTCAAGGCTGAGACGTTTGCACACGAGGTAAAGATGAAATGCCCGAAGGAACTCTTAGCTTTTAAAAATTGTGAGAGTGTAGTGGATTTGGTCAAATCTGGAAAATATCTTTCTAATATTATCGTGCACAATCTGCTAGTACTCAGTGTGTTTTGTGAGGGACTCTCAGCTACTTACAGCTACTAAAACTGACTGAGATGTTTCCATTTCTGTGTGAAAGAGCTGATTAGGAATTGAATCAGCTGTAGATGCTTATTTGGTGAAGATGATCCGTGAGTTTACTTAAAATCCTCACCCACATTTCACCATCCAGCAGTGGGTGACCCAAGAATAGAAAGGCCTTAAAACTCAAGGAGAAAAGTCTGTGATGTTGATCTTCTTTGAGGTTTCTACTTAGTCTTTGGGGACAAGATAACTGCTTTGTCTTTTTCAACAGATCAATAAAACCTTTTCTTTCTGGGAAAAGTTCTTACTGGGAGAAGCTTTACCATGCTGCTAACTGATGTGTTTATAACCTTGTGGCTGATTTTAAAAAACCAACCTGCTTTTTCTGACTTGAAAAGTAAAAATCCTCCAGGATTTATTCATAATGAAATGTGTAAAAATAACTATCCCTATTTCTCCCTCATCTCATGCTTCCTTCTTTGTGTGTGTCAGATGCTGGTTAAACAGAAGGAGGCCAACAGGCAGAGCATGTTGCTGCTGCAGAGTGCTGAGCCCAGCATACAGCTGCTCAAAGCTCTGGAAGATGTATCTGCCATCACTAAAACCCTAGAGGAGGAGCGTCTGCAGCATCAGCAAAAAGTAAAAACTCACAAAAAATGTTCTCGTTTTCCTCCAGCCTCACTTTTGTCAGGATTTGTCATCTTATGTCGTGTTTCCACCCACTTCCAGTAACAGAAAGCTCACGGTCACAATGAAACGGTGTCATATTCATTTTTTTAAAACTAAACAAGAAAAAAAACAAGCTCTAGAAGTATTTTCCTTTTTAATCTAAGCATGTGGCATTTAAAATGTTTGGACATGTGTGAAACAGTTGAAGAATCAGTTAAAAAACAAAGCAAAGCTTGAAGCGAAAACAAGAAAATGTCAAAAGGATCTAAAAATAGCACAAACGTTTTAGAAAACGTGGAAAACAAAACAAGACCGGTTGTCTTAAAAGGAGCTTCATTGCCACATGTAATGCTTTTACAATATTGTGTTTAAACATGGAGGCAACGCTGTTCATTGCACTTTAGTTTTGAGGGAATATTTGTATCAGTTCCTAAAGTTCAGCCTTTGTGAGGTGTGTTTCTGTGTAAAAGTCCTAAACCATTCCTGTGTTTACTCATCGTAAAGAGCTTCCTGAGTGGCTTTGGTTCAGAGAATGGAGTCTCTGTCCTTCAGGACTCCACCCCGACAGCCAATGACTAACAAGTTTGTTTCTGCTCTCTTAAACAGCTCCAGTCTCTCAAATGTCTCAACACTTCAATATTATTGAACAACTCTTTACAAATATGTCAGTGGTGCATTACAAAGACAAAAAGCTTCCTGCTCAACATGACCCCTGCAAAAAAATGCAAACTTTCATTATTATAACTGTAGCGGTTAATGAACTACATATCTAGGAATTAAAGGCTGTTGCTATCAGCTTATGTTTAGTTCCTAAGAAGATCAAACATATTGACGCGTGAAATTAAATGCATATATGCATATAAGGATATATGTATATAATAGATATAAATTCATACACCAACTTGCTTGGTCTCTGTTTAATCAAAAGAGTAAAATATCTATTTTTAAAAATGTAATTTATTAGCAAAGGTTATTTGTTAATTCAAAAGATCTAAAGATCTTTGTTCAGTGATCAATATACACCCACTCTGTGTTTATTTCAATGACGAGTCAAGTTTAAACAGTTAAGAAATTTATTATTAATCAATTTAAACATGACAATATAAAAGACAATTTATAAAAGCTTTGGTATTAAAAGGCAACCCCTGTGTTGGATGAATCTAAGATGAAGTGTGTTTTGCTTGCGGGTGAATGCATGGTGTCTCAGAACGTGTATCTTGCAGGAGGACGCGTTCTGGGTGAAAAGGAATTTGGTTGCAACTAACTAAGTTGTTGTTATCAGAAAGCATTCAAACACAATCTGTGTCTACCTCACCGTCAGACGACCCTCTTGGGTGGATCCGGAGGTCAAGGGAGGATGTTGATCAGCCTCAGGGTACTCGGTCCGGTAGAGAAGACCCGTGGTACCGACTCGTTCCGGTCCTAGAGATACCGCAGGCACACAGGTGTGGAATTGGTTTGCGTCTGAGCAGATTCTTAAGGAATCTCGTAGCATCAGCTTTGTTCTGCAGTTTGTTAGTGTCGGCTCGGATGGACGCAAACTTGCCAGCGTGGCAAGGATTGCTTGTTGGTTAAAGAGCGTTTGGGCGGCCGTCCCAACCTTCTCTAGAACACACTCGAAAGTGACGAGAGTTCTGTTTTATAAGATGGCTATTTCCTATTCTAACGAATCAGGTTTTGACGTGAAGAGGAAGATTTAACAAAACCCTCAGAACACGCCTTCCCAAAGATAGAAGGTTCTGGTGGATGAGAAAAGACATGTGATGCAAGTTACTTTTAACCTAGTTTACTGTGTCCTGTATGATTGTGTATAAGTGCAGATGATTCTTCTTGTCACTGTTACCCATTACTGATTATCATAAATAATTATTAACCAAAGAATAATAATTCATTTCAGTAATTACCACAGTTATAATGAACCCTGATGATTATTTATGAACATTGTAATAGACAGTATAAAGAGTTTATAAAAAATTATTCTTTTAATCTTGAAGTGTCCTTTTCTTCCTGTGGAGGAATAGCAGTCAGATAAGGGCTGGCAGTCAGATTAAAGGGGTGGTAGCAGACTTTGAGTCTGCTGTGAAGGACTCTATTGCAGATTGGAGCAGTAGCCAGGCCAAGGTGACCCAAGCTGTGTATCTGACCTGTGAGTCTTAAAATCAGGTCATTTTGTGACGTTACATAAGCACATTTTCTTGTACAGCTATAATTTTTAAAGTGTCATATGACCAGAGACAATACAAGAGGTGAGAAAATAATTATTTAGACCTTTAAACATTTATTTAAAAGGTCAAACTTCTCAGATTTGTGAAACAACGAGGTCAAAACATCTGAACTGTTGCATTTTTCAAAAGTTTGGAGATAACTGGTGTTTTTGCTCTACTAACAACGTTCAGCTGAAGCTTTATAGCATGTGAGTTGCACTGAAATTAGGTTATTTTTAACTCTTTGTTTCATTAAAACAAAGAAAACACATTGTTTGTCTTGAATTCAAGCTGATACAAACTGAATGTAATAGCATGACCACAGCTAACTCCAGTCTGTCGTACCAAACCCAAATCGTAGCAGTTGTTTCTATCACTTGACATGTTTTTGATATTCAACAACAAAATGTATGTAGCTGTCTTCAGCTTGTGTTGCTGCGTTGTTAATTACACTCTGTCTGTGTTTTGTGTGTGTGTGTGTGGGTGTAGGTGCAGAGCCTGGAGGCTCAGCTGCAGGAAAACTGTGTGCAGAAACAGCTGGACAACCTCCGGAGACAGCTGGAATTGCTGGAGGAGGAGAAGAAGGAAGTGGAGGGACGACTAGAGCAGGCAGAGAAAAAGAACGAGGAGCTGCGTAAAAGAGGTGGGCGAGAAAACTCCGAAATATTTACAACAGCAGGTGATGTTGAAGGGGGTCGGTGGCAGGCTGTGAGAGACTAAAGAATCCATAGCAACAGGAAGTAATCTAAATAACGGGTTGCCCAATCCTGGTCCTGGAGGACCGGTATCCAGCATATTTTGTGGTTTCACTGCTCCAACACACTTCAGTGGTAAAATAATCTGTGCAGCTCATCAGGCTCTGCAGAAGCCCGCTAATCACCTGCTGATAGAAATCGTGTGTGTTGAAGCAGAGTTAAAACTAAAACATGCTGGATACTGGCCCTCCAGGACCAGGATTGGGCAACCCGTTATTTAGATGTTGAGGGATGCCCCAATCATGATTTTTGCAGGTCCAAGTTCTTTAAGATTAAGCATCTGTTATTGCAGCCAGCACTGTTTATCTGAAACAGCTGTGAGGCTTTAAATTTGTGGTTGCTGATTAACATGCTGTACCTAATTTGGTATTCTTGGTCCTCCAGGTACTGATGAAAGGATATTGTCTGAAAAAAAGTGTTTTATGCTTAAGATCAGCAAAGAGTTGGTGTTGTATTACAGCACTGTTGATGTAAAACTCAGAAAGCAGGTAAACAATAGAGATTTAGGAGCCGAGAGTGGCCAGCTGCTCTGATCTTCTCAATGAAAAACAGCATCAAGGTTAGGGTTGGGCATTGTTTGATATTGAACGATTGCAATTCCGATTCCAATTCCTTGTTTCAATTCCGGTTCCTATCGATTTCCGATTCTTTGAAGACATGACGTGTTTTATATAATCCAGCTAACCACAGGTCCTACTTGATGAAATAATCTCAACTTCAACATGAATTTTAATTCTACGAACAATATGTAGCAATAAATATAGATTTTTATCTATATGTATCAAATGTGTTGTAGATTTTGCTTGTTTAGTCGTTTATAATCTTATATTAATTACTCGGGGCACCACCAAGTCTTTTTAGTGTGAACTTGGAACACATACATTGCACGAACCCGAAGCTTTATAGCAGTGACATGAAATAACTGATCTGTAATAAGGTGGAAATTTGGTGACACACAAGATTATAGTAAAATGGGGAATAATTTCTGAATGGGGAACAAAGTGTGTGTGTGTGTGTGTGTGTGTGTGTGTGTGTGTGTGTGTGTGTGTGTGTGTGTGTGTGTGTGTGTGTGTGTGTGTGTGTGTGTGTGTGTGTGTGTGTGTGTGTGTGTGTGTGTGTGTGTGTGTGTGTGTGTGTGTGTGTGTGTGCGAATAAGGATTCGTTGCGGCAAAAAAAGGTAAATCTTAAGAGCTAAACGTGAATTTGGATCTAAATAAAACACACCATGAAAATGGGATAATCTGAAGTCACGAATCGACTTAGCAGAAAAGTCAGCCGGGGGGACTGTCTCACAGACCTGTTTTCCGTCGCCAAAAGGGTGACCAAAAGGGCTGAAATAGTCGTAGGTGTCCTCTCTTGGGTGAAGCCTTCTAGGACGGTAGGATGTTGGCCCCCAGAGTAGGTCAACGGCATCTGTGGAGTGGAGGATGATGTGCTCCTCTATTGTGGCTTGACTTTCGGTTCCTTCAGCTGTACCCAAAATGTAGGATTCAGATTGCGGGTTCAAATTATCCAAAACAAAGTCAAATCAGAAAAACTGCTCCAAACTAGTTTTAACTCCTAATGTGAAAACTCGACCGGATCAAGCCGACTTCCGGTTTCACGTAGAAGATCAAAACAAAACAACGGAGTCTGAGTTTTACCATAACTTTTGAGAGCGACGGCTTTGCTAGGCCAGATGGAAAGCCAGCAAGGACTTGCTTAAGGCGTCTTTTCCTTCTTTTTTCTGCCGACACGAGGTTTGGACTGTGGCCTTTATAACCTTTCTTGGTCACACCCACATGTATTTCACTCATTAACCACTGGATGGCACTGTGGCTCTTTCAAATAAACTCTACCTTTCCAACAACGAAAGGTCCATAATCACAATTTACCAAAGTTATCCACATAAGGCCTCAAAAAGTATTACTTTAAACAGAAATGAATTAAATTCATGTCTTAAGCTTGACTGTATTATTGTTAGCATGAATTTTAACTGGTGAAACAAAAGTGACAGATGTTTAACATGAAAGAGGAACACAAACAAGCATTTAGGTTTGTAACTGATAAGCATTTAAACATTTACCTAAACACCTTCTTTGATTGTAGATAAACAGAATTTTGTTTATACAGACTCAAGTCTTGAAGCTCCCAGAGGGAACTAAAGAGAAGTTTTATGACTAGCCCCATCTTGAGAAAAAGTTCAGTTTTAACAGGTTGATGTAAAACAGACCAATTTCAAATTCGTCCTGCTTCTCCAACTGGTACAGAAGAGAAAAACAAGTCACTTGGTAAAATGTATGTCCCTGGGGAAGGTAAGCCAGTTTCAAATCCCCCCCCCCCCCCCCCCAATTTGCTGCTGAGTACGAAAGAAAGAAAAATGGTGTGAAATTGGTATTGTTCTTCGTCGTGTAAGCCCGACAAAAGTTAATCTGAGAATAATTTGGATTTCCGCTGCAAATAACATCACCTTCATTTAGACGAAAATATGTTTTGGAGAAAAAAAAAAAAGACTTGCAGCTAGGGCTGCTCGATTATGGCAAAAATAATAATCACGATTTTTGTGACTGAAATTGAGATCACGATTATTTAGGACGATTTTTCAATTTATGATGATTTTATTTGTTTTTATTCAGTCATAAAATTGCTCAGGGCACAATTAGGACAAAAATAAGAAACAAGATGATCACTAAAATAACTCCTGATTCCCAGTATCTCGTCTCGTCTCGTCTTCCTCCGCTTATCCGGGTCCGGGTCGCGGGGGCAGCATCCCAACTAGGGAGCTCCAGGCCGTCCTCTCCCCGGCCTTGTCCACCAGCTCCTCCGGCAGGACCCCAAGGCGTTCCCGGACCAGATTGGAGATGTAACCTCTCCAACGTGTCCTGGGTCGACCCGGGGGCCTTCTGCCGGCAGGACATGCCCGAAACACCTCCCCGGGGAGGCGTCCAGGAGGCATCCTGACCAGATGCCCAAACCACCTCAACTGGCTCCTTTCGATCCGGAGGAGCAGCGGTTCTACTCCGAGTCCCTCCCGAATGTCCGAGCTCCTCACCCTATCTCTAAGGCTGAGCCCGGCCACCCTACGGAGGAAACTCATTTCGGCCGCTTGTATCCGCGATCTCGTTCTTTCGGTCATTACCCAAAGCTCATGACCATAGGTGAGGATTGGGACGTAGATCGACCGGTAAATCGAGAGCCTGGCTTTCTGGCTCAGCTCCCTCTTCCCCACGACAGATCGGCTCAGCGTCCGCATCACTGCAGACGCCGAACCAATCCGCCTGTCGATCTCCCGATCCCTCCTACCCTCACTCGTGAACAAGACCCCGAGATACTTAAACTCCTCCACTTGAGGTAGGACCTCTCCCCCGACCCGGAGGTGGCAAGCCACCCCTTTCCGGTCGAGAACCATGGTCTCAGATTTGGAGGTGCTGATCCTCATCCCAGCCGCTTCACATTCGGCCGCGAACCTACCCAGCAAGAGCTGAAGGTCAGAGCTGGATGAAGCTAGGAGGACCACATCATCCGCAAAAAGCAGAGACGAGATTCTCCTGCCACCAAACTCGACACACTCCGCACCACGGCTGCGTCTAGAAATTCTGTCCATAAAAGTGATGAACAGAACCGGTGACAAAGGGCAGCCCTGGCGGAGTCCAACCCTCACTGGGAACAGGTCCGACTTACTACCGGCTATGCGGACCAAACTCACGCTCCTCTGGTAAAGGGACTGAATGGCCCTTAACAGAGAGCCACCCACCCCATACTCCTGGAGCGTCCCCCACAGGGTGCCCCTGGGGACACGGTCATAAGCCTTCTCCAAATCCACAAAGCACATGTGGATTGGTTGGGCAAACTCCCATGCCCCCTCCATCACCCTTGCAAGGGTATAGAGCTGGTCCACAGTTCCACGGCCAGGACGAAAACCACATTGCTCCTCCTCTATCTGAGATTCAACTATCGATCGGACCCTCCTCTCCAGTACCTTGGAGTAGACCTTTCCAGGGAGGCTGAGGAGTGTGATCCCCCTATAGTTGGAACACACCCTCAGGTCACCCTTCTTAAAGATGGGGACCACCACCCCGGTCTGCCACTCCCTAGGAACTGCCCCCGATGACCACGCAATGTTGTAGAGACGTGTCAACCATGACAGCCCTACAACATCCATAGCCTTGAGATACCCAGGACGAACCTCATCCGCCCCCGGGGCTCCGCCGCTGTGTAGTTGTTTGACTACCTCAGCAACTTCTGCCCCCGAGATCGGACAGTCCATCCCCAGGCCTCCCAGCTCTGGTTCCTCCTCGGAATGCGCATTGGTGGGATTGAGGAGCTCCTCAAAATATTCCTTCCACCGTCCGACTATAGCCCCAGTTGACGTCAGCAGCTCCCCATCCCCACTGTAAACAGTGTGAGCGAGTTGCTGCCTTCCTCTCCTGAGGCGCCGGACAGTTTGCCAGAACCTCTTTGGAGCCGATCGATAGTCTTTCTCCATGGCCTCACCAAACTCCTCCCACGCCCGAGATTTTGCCCCGGCAACTGCCACTGCTGCACCCCGCTTGGCTATCCGGTACCTGTCTGCTGCCTCCGGAGACCCACAGACCAGCCACGCCCTGTAGGCCTCCTTCTTCAGCCTGACGGCTCCCCGAACCTCTGGTGTCCACCAGCGGGTACGGGGGTTGCCACCACGACTGGCACCGGCCACCTTACGACCACAGCTAGCAACAGCCGCCTCGACAATCGCAGAGTGGAACAAGGCCCACTCGGACTCAATGTCCCCCACTGCTCTCGGGACGTGGTCAAAGCTCTGCCGGAGGTGGGAGTTGAAGACCGTCTTGACAGGTTCTTCTGCCAGGCGTTCCCAGCAGACCCTCACTATGCGTTTGGGTCTGCCAGGTCTACGCGGCATGTTCCCTTG